CAAGGGAGGCATGATCTGAAAAGTACCGGTCCACCCTGGGCAATTTTTGAATTTTGAATTTTGAATTTTTTCATATCCAGGAACTTCACGGCGTGGGGGTCATCCGGGACATCTACATGAATATTTAAGTCACCAATGATCAGGAGGTGTTCCTTTAAAAGAAGGACAGAGTCTATATAGAACATTTTCACATGACTTCACGGCGGCCGTATTGGTGTTCCAAAACAATGAAACGGCGGCCATGTTGGTGTTCCAAACAAAACCCGTGGGGGTTGGACTCTTTTCCTATGTAAAAGCCTTATTTTGTTCTCATAAATTTGCATAGTTGCTGGCCACGAGAGTGAAAATGCTCTATAGCTGGAGAATTCATCGAGAAACACATTCATGGGTACCATGTGGTCAGCCGAGTACGGTGGTCTATAAACGATGATAGCCTTTAGATTATTCGATTCGATTATTCTCCCTTCTGAGTACTCAAATGACTCTAGCTGTCCACAGTTGGACGAGTTGCCTGCGTGCAGACGTCTCCTATTTCCTTTGTTGCACGCGGAAAAGGGACGTCTGCGTAACGCCGTCGCTAATCGTGTTCCAGCGTCCTGCTGGGTTCCCAAGATCTTGGGAACACGCTGTGATAGGCTGACACACAGTTCGCATTGTCTGACTTAACGCTGATTGGTTGTTATCGAATGTGGTCTGATAATGTAAGCGGAGTTTTCTAACCAAAACAAATCAAAACATGTGCGATTGTGTGCTGTGTTTTTCGACGATCGAAAAGCAGAGCGATCGAAATCTTGTGCAGGGACGCGGAAAATTTAACGTGTACGAGGAAATTATTTCTTTACAATTTACTGTGCATGACACATCACATCATATTTGTAAACAGTGTCTGAGAAAACTACAAAAGCGGCGTGGACTTCGCACCAGGCAGGCATTTCGGAGAAAGCCAGCCCAAGAAACTAACATCTTTATTTAGCCGTAACAAACAGAGGTCAAGAAAATTTAAACACTTTACAACTGCATCTGAAATCAAATCCTATCGGGAACACCCACAGAAGCATAAACCACAGGAAATGATTACTCAGTATGCATGTAACAAACCTGCTTCATGACCTCTAAATGGAAGACTTAGCGCGGCAAAATGAGATTTACTCAGTCAAAAGTTAGAATGCTACATGCACTGAGTAGTGCTAGTAATCTTCGCGCGAGAGAGAAAAGAAGAAACTCTCAAGGTCACGTTTCGCCCGTATCACGAGCTTATGATGTTTTGTTTCGCCTGTCAACTCTTATTTCTAACCGGATATTATTTCACAATTTATGCGAAATAGAATACCCTGCCAGCGGGACGCTGGAACAAGATTAGCGACGGCGTTACGCAGACGTCCCTTTTCCGCGTGCAACAAAGGAAATAGGAGACGTCTGCACGCAGGCAATTGGACGAGGTGACCTTCAAAGAATCCTCATAAAGGAGTGCAGTTCCACCACCCCGATATCCCTCCCGAGGCTTATCCAAATACCGGTAGCCACAAGGGCATAGCTAGCTGAGCCCTTATCGAATAATCGTTCGGTTTTAACCCGGTCTCTGTGACTGCAACAAGTTCGAACGCTGTTTTGTTTCTGACAGATGGAGTGTTCATCAAGCTTAAAAACAGAGAATGATTAACGTCATTTCAGGGCCCGTGCAGGGGGAGGGACTGGGGGGTCAGGGCCCACCACTTTTTAAAAAATATTTAAATAAAATTAAGTAGAGTAGAACCTCGATATAACCAAGGGCCAAGGGAGTGGCAAAATATGTTCGTTATAGCGAGGTTCGTTCACTTATATCGAGGTTCTTTTTCATATTTCCTTATATTTTACTATTACTAGAGTATACAAAAACAGTTCGTTAAATCGAGGACTTCGTTATATAGAGGTTCCACTGTAATTCCATAGGAGTGGAAAGAGGCTAACATCGTACCGGTTTTTTTCAAGAAATGCGAAGCTGCGTACACGGAGAACAATAGACCAATCTCCTTACTGTCACGTGTCCAAAGTGCTGGAGCGGTGTGTATTGAACAGCTTTAATGATTGCTTGAGTTCATCAAGGCGTTTCAACATGAGTTTCCCCATGGGAAATCATGCACCTACAACCTATCGGAGGTTCTTTACCACACTAGCGCCCTACTCGACAAAGGTGGTCAAGTGGATATGGTATACATGGACATATCAAAAGCCCGTTAAGCAAGCTGCTCAAGTTTGGCCTTGGGGGAAACCTTCTTCAGTGGTTCCAATCATAGCTCACAGACGGCCGACAAAGTGTCACAGTGAGTGGTGCAACATCAGAGCCATTGCCCATCTGTTCTGTAGTACCACAGGGGTCCATCCTTGGCCCGTCCCTGTTTCTCTTGTACGTAAACGACCTTCCGGATGCGGTAGAGGAGAGTAACATCACTATGTTTGCCGACGACAAAAAGATCTACAAAGAGGTCAAGTCAGCTGCTGATACGTGGACGCTTGGTCAAAAGACTCCGGTCTCACTTTAACGAGACAAAATGAAAGGCTCAGAGAATATCCAGGAAACTGAAGCCAATCGAGTCATCGTACAGCATCAAAGGGAAATTCTAAGAGTCAGTGGTCACCGAGCGCGACCTAGGAACGACCTCACATGGAGCAAACAAGTGTTTGAACAGTCGTGTCTTGCAAATAAGCTGACGTTAGGCGATCGGTCTATCTCGCTTTAGTTAGACCTCTTTTCGGCTATGCAACCCCGATTTGGGCTCCTCAGTCCATCGAACTAATTACAAGAATTGAAAGGACACAGAGGCGTGCCACTAAATATATCCTCAAATTGCCTCTTTCCTGCACAATTTCTTACATGAATAGACTTAAAACTTTGGATCTGCGTCCATTAACATTCTGGCACCATGGATGCTGGCACGAGTATGTAGATATGATGTTTTTTTTTTTTTTTCAACTCATTCATGGTCTCCTATCGGTATATGCATCAATTATTCCTAAAGCTCGCGTCACGAGGCCCACCAGCTCTTCATCTAGTGGTGTTGTTGAATTTGTAGAGCCTAAACGTCAGACAGCAACTTATCAAAAGTCCTATATCATCAGATGCATATGCGTCTGGAACGTTGTTGCTGATGAACTGAACCTGCGCATGAACTCCCTGAATGATTTTAAACAGGAAATGGTAGAGTATTTCAAAACCGCCTTAAGTAATTGCGACTGGGAAAATCCCTGCACTTTTAAGTCTGTCTGTCTTAAACGTATTAAGTGTCGTAGTCTTGCCCAGCCTGTCTCGTGTTGCTTTATATTTTGTGATTATGTATTTTAACTATTCTTATATTTTCTAATTTTCTGGGCCCGCAGTCTGGCTCACGCTTCCGCGGAATCCCCGCCACTTTTTCTTTGTTACTTTGTTTGATTTCCTTAATGTTTTTATATAATTATATTATGTTGGCGAAGCTAATAAAATAAATAAAATATACATTTTCATACAAAAACTATCTTTGTTGGAATAAGGATCTTCCAGCATCTAAATTTATTATTGGTCCGTTTTGATCCTAGATCTGCCGCGTAGTAAGCTTCAAAACGCCTGTCTTTACAAAACTGCACTTAGTCCTAGACTTCTGCGTTTTCAAACCAGCAAGGCTGTGTAGCATATGCAACGATGCGAAATGGAGTCTTTTTTAATGAAGGTTCTCGATTAAATCTGAAGACTGCTCCACATCTCTTAGTTGTGAATATAAATAAGAAATGAAATATACTATGTACAAAAATGCAATAGGCAAGCTTATATAAAATTACACGTTACAATAACGAAAATAACTAAGGACAACAGACATTTACTAAAGCGAGTAAAATGAATATGTAAATCGTATGGAAAAAGTTCGAATATGGAGGAGTGGATGGTACTATGACTAGGAGTCCACTTGAAACGGAGAGGAGTTGAAATCTATTTTTAAGAAATTTGGGAGCACTCGGATTAAGGAGAAGGTTGAAAAGAAGACAAAGTTTTCTGTATTTAATGAGGCATCTACTTTAGTTTTGAGAATAAGGAAATTGACACCTGAAACAAGTCGGCATCAAAGAGTATACGCCCAGCACGCTTCTGAAGACGAAGGAGACGTAACAGGAGCTAGTGGGAGCAGTTACCCCAGGCAGCAGAATAATAAGTAAAGTAGTTGTTAACACAAGAGTTATAAAAACGTAAAGAATAGTCAAGATATGGTTTGATTCGATGGAGGAGAATGTCTGCAGCTGATAATGGACCAAATAGTATCGATGTGTTGCTTCCAAGACATACCACTGTCTAATATTACGCCAAGAATTTTGGCACAGTCCACTCGTTGTAAAGATCTACCATCAATTTGGACAATGAGTGCCGAGCCGGTTAAGGTACTGCGTGTCGTAATTAGTAGACACTTTGTGTTACTTGTGGTGAGAGACATTCGATCATAAACAGCCCAGGTAGATACTGTCTAAACAACCTCTTTCAAATGATTACAGTCGAACCTCCCGTAAGCGACCACCCAAAATGCAAAGACTTAGTGGTCGCTTACGGGAGGTGGTCGCTTACAAGAATCGAACCACAGGAGGCCTCTTACGAGAAGAGGTCCGAGGACATCTACTTCATGGAAGATAATTTATTGGATTACACCGTGTGTAGTTCCATGTGGTTACAAGGTGCAAGGTGCACGGTGCACACAGCGAACATAGAGATCAGAGAACGCGTCAAGAGGTCGCTTACAAGAGGTTAAAAACAATAGAAAATCATTAAACCGTGAGGCCCAAAGAGTGGTCGCGGTCGCTTAAAGGAGGTGGTCGTTTTCTAGCTGTAAGGCTTTGGTTTGGTGTTTTGTTTAGGCGTCCGCTTATGGGAGGTGTTCGCTTACGAGAGGTGGTCGCATGTTCAACTGTGCTAACGAAAGTAATAGACGGCCCTCGAACAAGAATAGTTGTATTTTCCGCAAA